TGGTCGAGTGTATATTACTTAACGATAAGCGATGTAAAAGGCAAGAAAAATTCTTTTTTGATGCCATTAAAGTAAGATTTGCTAAAATTCTGATTTACCTTGGCAAACTCACATGACTTTTTGCACTGGTTTTTATTAGCCAATTAGAATTGTAGATGATAAATTACATTTTGTTTACCAAGATCAAAATATCTATCATTCCATTATCCATGACTACATTTGCCAGCGTTATCTTTAAAAAGAACTTACATAAAAGAAATACTAAAAAAAACCTTTTTACTGCCTGAAAAGAGAGTTCTGGCTTAGGACGTCTTTTCAGCTTAAAAAGATCCCTTTCGACGTCGACATCATAATATTTCTAATATTTTTAGACATCAATTTTATGAAAAAGCGTTTTTCAAAGTGTGATATCGATATATGTATCATAAAAAATGACACAAGATGGATTGCAGAATATGTATTTTCGAGTATTTTTTTGGTCATTCTTTGACAACTAACCTTGACAGAGTCCACAACTGTAGCGACAATTTTGATTCACATATGTTTTCCAGCTCTCTTCGTTGCAAATCCAAGAATTCGTTCTACAAAACGATGACCATACGTCTCTACAGACTAAAATCACAAAATTGAATTACGATTTTTGAAATACTCCAACATCTTTTTTTTTTTCTAGTCGGATCTAGTTTTCTGACATTTCTATTCCACCACATGTGGGTGCGGGAAGTTTTCACTAGATTATTGTGTTTCTCCATGTAAAACATTTCATATTAAGATAGACGTTCTTCCTGAGAATCCTTGATTTAGGGAAGAAAGACATTAAAAAATATATTTCTAAGAGTTGGTCTCTGTATAAATCAAGAAAAATGGGAAATGAAAATGTTTGACCCACCGTGAAACATTGTGTGCTGATACAAAAACAAAACACCCTTCGACTTTCGAATTCGTCAAATTTCCTCCCCGAAAAGGGTTTTTACCCAGGYGTAACATTGCTTTCCCATTGCTTGACCAATCACCGCTTAGATCCTGAAAATTAGCAGCCGTTCGCGGCATAATAAAGCAAGATGGTTGTTATAGACCCCTTGCAGTTCGTGGGAATGCAACTCCAACTGGAGGACAAAACAATAGATTCCATTTCCCAAGAGGTCAAAAATCTTTTGTTTTGTCCTCCAGATGAAGCTTCTTTGACGTCACATGCAAGGGGTCTATTGCAGCTGCGAAATTTAAAATTATAGAGTTAAACGATTAACAGAAGAATGCTATTCTCAAGTTTATGGAAGATAGAGTCAATGTGTTCGTGAATCTACCCACTGGGTTTGGAAAATCGCTAATTTTCAAAACATTGCCATGTATTTTCGACCTCAAACCGGTTTAAAAGATGCCATATTTAAATATCATTTCCAGGATGCTCCTATGCAATGACCCTACAGTCAAAAGACATGAAGCGCGCCCCCTCAAAACACCATTATTCAATTCATTATTCGATTCTTGGTTGATTCAACATTACATTTTTGAAATCAAATTTGAATTAAAACTTCGAAATTTGATTGAATTATTGATCTGATTTTCATAAAGCCTTCTTCGTATTCGTTGGGCGCGCTTCATGTCTTTTGACTGTAATTAAGACTTTACTTTTACTATTTCCATTAAAATAGCATCCTTGCAGCTGCAATCTTGTGGTTCATGCTCCAGTGTTTACCACACCACTTGYACTTCTCATAAATTGTTATCACACAATTGCAAGACAATACTGGAAAACGACGAAGAGTGAACTTCTTACCTGGACAACGTCGTATGTTGCATTGCTTCTGCTGCCTAGCTAGACCGAGTCTCCTGCAGTCTCTTCCACCATATTGGGGTCTGGGATTAGTACATGTACGTGAGCGGTACTGGTATCCTCTCCCACATGTCGTAGAACATCTGGACCATCTGGACCACGACGAGTATCCACCGTGAACTATGAATAATAAGATTAAACATCAAAACAAGCACTTGCCAGCCGAAACATAAAGCGCATATAGCACTAGCAGTAAGGCGTAGTGTGGTCGGAATGGACAATTAAAACATGCGCATAGCACATTTATTTTTAACCTCACGAAGAGTTCAGATTTAGCATATGAAAT